TTGTTGTACTTCGTTCGGTTTATTGCTTATTTAACTGATTTTTTTAATCTCGTGTTTTATTTCTGTTGTCTGTTTGATTTTTTCGGTATATTTTTGTCAGAAATTCAACACAATATGCTAGCCTTTACCAAATACATGTCTTGTTTTATTAGTTGTTTTTGAGTCAAAAGTCGTATGACATAATGTTGATACAATTTTGATCTGATATTGAATAACTTTTCTTAAGGTCAAGTTTATAATTTTTGTGCAAAATTGAAATGTGCAGTTTAATCTTAAGAAAAACATCATAAATTGGGTATACCATCAAAATAAAACACTAAATCACCACAATACACCAAAACACTTTTACTTTTACACTGGACGCGCGTTTCGCTAACCATGTTAGCATCATCAGCAGATGATTATAAACTAATATAATATTTAGTATATAATATATAATAGGGTTTATAATCATCTGCTGATGATGCTAACATGGTTAGCGAAACGCGCGTCCAGTGCAAAAGTAAAAGTGTTTTGGTGTATTGTGGTGATTTAGTGTTTTATTTTGCTGTGTAACACCAAAGGGTCCAACCCTCAACTGTAATCTGGTTATACCATATTAAATAGGCATTTATTACATCAAAAATAAACTTTGAGGTTTTTACCATAAAAAATGTATGTATGTATAATTATTACAATAAAATTTATTTTAAAATTAAATAATAATCAGAATTTATCAAAATACATTAAATAAAAGACAGAAACTTTTAGAATTCTAAAATTTTTCGAAACTTATTTATAAGACACAGAATGATCCATGAACGATATTGACTTAATCAAAAAGCATTTCAGGCAAGTTTGATATCTAGTAGAATAATATATTAGATTCTAAGATATTAGACAAAAATATCGTTAAAGTGAGTAATTATAAAACAATGTTATTTTAGTCAAATATCGACTGTTTTATTGAGAAAATTGCTTTCGATATACATATGTTTGTAATCTTTAGATATGTCTGTAATCTAGTCTCTTTTTGGATAATATTAAAAAAAGGGTTTTAAGTTTACGTCTCCTTTTTGCTGCTAAGGTTAATCTGGACGGGGCCTACTTTGTTTACGAGAAATTTTGAGAGACGATGGGGGGTTAATCACAGCGACCTTACATATCTATTATACAAGGGGGTGGCCAGACAGTAAAAATAAAACCTATATTTTTAATTGGTAGAATTTTTAAATAATCAATGCGAATTTTTTCCAAATATTAAAAAAGCTATCCAAATTTTTTTGTCTTTACCTCCAACAACGGTTAATATTGAGAGGTCCTTCAGCACTTTGACGTGTGAAAATCTGGCTAAGGTCCACAATGTCTGAGGAACGCCTCACAGGGCTTTGTATGCTCAGGGTACATAGAAAATGTGTTACCAATAATAAAGAAGAGTTTATTAAAAAATTTATTAATAGATTTTCCCAAAATAAAAGGAAGCTTCTGTTGGCGTTTTCCAATAAAAATTAATATTTTTGAAATTTACTTTTACTAGATACATTATTGTTGCGTTTTATATTTGTTTTATTTCATTAACTTATTTCCAGTTATATTTTATTTTTGTCTGTGGTTTGGTTTATGTTTTGTATTATTGTATTACTCTAAAGCCGCGTTCTCAGAGCTTCGTTCTGTCGCCGCGACAGTATTTTCGACCAATAGGAAACCGACCAAAAACAAACCGGATGAGATCGGATATCTCGTGAGTCGATTTAGACACTCGCCAAGTCGGTAGGCCATTGGCAATGATATGTCTGAGGATAACTTTGAGAAATATCTCACTATAGTATTCAACAATAAAAAGTATCGGAGGAGAAACGTTTGCCCACCAGGTAAAAGACCATATCATAATGTGATATACTGATGCTTCCAAACGTTTTGGAAGCATCAGTTTGTTTAGCGAGTGTCTAAATTGACTCACAAGATATCCGATCTCATCCGGCCTCAAACCGGTGCGAATATGAGCACTATGAGCAGTCTAATAAAGGTGAGTATTCATTATCCGAACGAACGAACGAACGAATGAAAGTGCGGTATATTTGGAGGGGGACCGAACGCATGCGGCCGTTCGTTCGTTCGTTCGCTCGACCATCCGTTTCGAGTCGGTACATCAAAGTCGTTCGCGTCCAGTCTTCTCGTGCGGTTCTATCGTACGGTCCCCGTCCATACCCAGTCCATACCACTAGCGAACATTCGTTCGTTCGTTCGGATACTGAATACGCACCTTAAGGATCTGAGTAAAAAACCCCGGCATAAGAACTTCAATATTCTCGCCACAACTATACTGTATAAGATAATATCAGAGTAATATCACTGGTAACATTTATTATAGGATAATACTTAGATAATTAATATTCTGGTGTTTCGTAGAAGGAATAAGTTAAAAATGTATGGGCAAAAAATAAGGAATTTAACAACATAAATCTTACCAGTTTAACGTTATTATTTAGAATTACATTGAACCTAACCATCTCGATCTTAGTTCACTACACACTGATGTGTATAACAATATATTAACTGTGTGTATTTATGTGTATAGAGAATTATACTATTTATATAAAAATACTGTTACTGTGAGATACATTATTTAGACTTATGAAAATAAGGAATCAGATAAAATTACAATGTCAATAACACTAATACTTTTGTGGTTTGTTTAAGTTTGTTTTTAAGTATAACAAAGGTTTAATAGGGATAGATGTCTATTTCTATTATTACTCCGTTGAAGTTAATTCAGCTTCAGCCAATAAGAGACTTTTCCTTAAAATCACAGAATTTCCGTCACTATTTCTGTTGATAAGTCTATATTATTATTCTGCTTCTCTGTATTTTCTTTTTTTGGTGGCATTGATCCTAAAATAATAAACAGAATTTGTTTAAATATTTCTTTAAAAAATATTTATTATAAAAATATGTATATACAGGGTGTCCCAGAAATAAGTGCAAGTATTTTAAGGGGTGGTAGATCTCGATAAAAGAAACATAATTTCTCTTTATCGTTTTGCAAATAAGACCAAAATAACGGAGTTATTTTACTTTGAAAACTTCCAAAAAAATTATTTTTTGCTAAAATTTTGAGAACCACTGGATCTTTACTAGATTTTCTTTCTTGTAAATTCAATCTAATACCTATGTTGCCATATTATTAAGAAATTATATTTTTAAACTAAAAACTAAAAAAAATCCAAAAAATTTTTCAAAAAATTTCGAATTTTCAAAAAAAATTTTTTCGGAAAAAAACTCATAAGCGTGATTCTGGGGTTAAACTATACTACCAGTTAAAATACTTGCACTTATTTCTGGGACACCCTGTATAAGACCCATTGTATATTCTTTAACGTTAAAATTTTGTAAAATGTAGAAATTTCAGCATATTCCAAATGCTATTTCGTATAATCATGTGAGTAATTATCAGATCATAACATGATAGTGTCAAAAAACTCTCGATTGAATTTCTTAATAGGGGTAGCATAATTCTTTACAATAAAGCTATTGTTTACAATTCATATTTTACTTATTGCGGAATAATATAAATAATGCTCGTATTCCGAATTTCTAGCATCGCTTTATACATATATATAATACCTATATAATAATACATTCATAATATCTAAAATTGTGTCAAAGCATTTTTTTTCAAAGTAGGTATTATATCCATAAAGGAAGTATGTAAGTACCTTTTTGTAAAAGGAGTTTTTCTAATGCGATTACAGGAGATTCGTATACCATACTTAATATAAATGCCAGAGTATATCCTAAAACTATATCAGCGACAGTTTTATAACCCTAAAACAACAATTACAAAATCAATAAACTATAAAAAGTACTATAGATACGAACAACGTACCAAATTGAATATAGAAACATGTGTAGGTGTTCTAATGCTTCCTGCAGTGTACATCTGTATAATTCCGTGTGAAATATACACGCAAAATGACAATTTCGCTAAAATTGTTAAAGGTCTCCAACTTAGAAATGAATTGATTAAAGCTAAAATAACAATACGATAGTAATTATCGAGAAGGAAAGGAATAAATATTTTTAAAACTTACGTTCGTGACCTAACGATAATACAATTATTATCCACGCTATACAAATGCTCCACAATGGATGATATAGAGCTGCATACAGAGCTGTTAATAACTGATGCACGTCGTATAAATAAAATATATAACCGGTGGCCAAGGAAATGATCATTGTTGGGATTGAAAATATCCATCCTAAAAATCAAAACTGACTAAATAAGATGATTAACACATAAACATTGAAACTAAAAACTAAAAAATACAACAAAGTAGCATACGATCAGAGCTGCGAGCTCAATGAAAACTTAAGTCTTATGATTTGAATCGTTTTAATAACTAAAGTCATTTGATTTTAAGTCATTTATCGAAAGCTGACTTAATGATTAAGATTTAAGTAATTTTCAAAACGATTTGTGATTTAAATCTTTATTCCAAAATATAAAAAGTTAAAAAGCTATTAAGTCATCAAAAAGGGCTTAAATATTTTAAAAGATTTACGTTTTTTTAGAAAAGACTTTTTAAAAAAAACTGTTTTAATAATTGTTAAAGAGGACCAATTAATATGATTCCAGTATTCAAACTACATTAATTGCCTGTTTGCGTTGATTAATAATATTTGCTCCAAATACTAAAAAACTGAATTTTTATGTGTATTAGACAGTGTAGTAAAAAGTAACACCTTAAAAATTTTATTTCACTTTTTGACGAATTCTTATTTGTAACAGAGACGTTCATTTTCATAACTTATTATGATATTGATTTCCGATTCAAATCCATAGTTATTTAGAATAATGTATTAACTAACACAATTAAGTATGTAATTAATTAATATTTGGGCAGAAATAATGTGGTATATTTAATTAATAGTTTACTCTTTTATAAATATTTAAATAGTTTTCTTTTCGTATACAAATGAGCTAGTAATATTCTCGTTTTTAACAGCTGTACATTTTGAACATTTATTGCTTTAAAAACAATCTAAAATGTCAATATTCCATGGGTATATTGATAAATGAGGTCTAAATTATAAGGAAATGCATTTTCTACTAAAACTTGAACGGATAAGTAAAAAATGGTATAATACAATTTGATAGACTATTAAATTGTGCATCTGATTCTCATAAAATATACAGGGTGTTTCATTTAAATTAAACAAGTTATTGCCGCTTAAAGCTAGAAATTATTTAAAATTAATTTTCAGAGACTCTGTATGAGGTAGTATTATTTTTATTATTGCAACACAATAACTGATCAATAAATAAACTTAATATTTAGTATTAAAAGCTTCGATACACTTAGTAAATATTTAGTATTAAAAGCTTTGATACCCTTGGAGAAATGAAGCCTTAACATTTTTACTGCAATTTCACAAAAATTTAATATATTTCAAAAACAGTAAGATTTAAGTGTAATAAACCTTAATCAAATTTACCTTTATTTTAATCGTAGAAATTAAAAATGTAATAATATACAGGGTGTTCTATTTAAAAAAATACAACTTTAATATTTTTTATTTATTTGGGACACTCTGTATCTTGTAAAAATATTTTTAAATTGTAGTTCTAATAGTTCTTCAACGAACCCAAAGCTTACAATTTGTAAAAATCTAATCGTTTAGCTACAATGCTCCGTGTCGTATATGGTGAACAACCCTCTATACTCCAGTCCGGTAAAATCGTCGTGGACCGGCAAATTCAATAGAATTATATACAACTGTCGGAACGTGAGCAAAGCCGGCGCCGGCACCGGCACCGATTTTGACAGTGTGTGTGCAAGCGCTCTTAGAGCTCTTAGAGGCTTTTAAAGTGTCGTATATACGTTTACTTTTGACAATAATACCCAGTTACACATATCGTAATAAACATACTTATTATCTTTTGTATCTTCTAATGATAACGTAAACACTATAACGTTTATTTTAGTTCATAACAAAAATTGTTTTAAAATAAAATTATTTTTGTAAAAAGCGTTAACTACTTCAATCGATATTATAAATTGAACTTTACATTCGTTTGTCGGGCCTATATCATATTTAATACTAAATTATTAAACATGCACCATTCTAGACCTAACGCCACTGCACATTGTCGTCAGTAGATAATACGACAATGATTAGAATGGTCATTGACGGAAACTGTACTGGGATAATTTTCAGGTCAGGGGCTTGGAATATACTCAAATCGAATCCAACTCCCAGTTGATAACATACCAAGAATATAAAACTTTGAGAAAAACTTTACTGTAGTATTGAGCAATAAAAAGGATTGGAATAGAGAAACATTTGCTCGGTATGTAAAAGTCTATACCATAACGTGGTATACTGATGCTTCCAAAACCAAAGCAGGGACAGGGATAGGGATAGGAGTATTTCGGTCCAAAACTAAATACTCCAAGGGCACCTACCCAACTACCCAGCATCCTTCAGGAACTATCGAAAACAGGAAATAGCCATCTCATCTGATAGTCAAGCAGCACAAAAGGGATCAACTCAGTAACCATCAATGCGAAGTTGGTCAGAGAATGCCTAGAGAAGCTGAACAAATTAGGCAAAGAAAATAAGCTTCTAGTCTAAGCTCACCAAGGGATAGAAGGCAATGAAAAGGCAAACGATCTAGCTAGGAAAGGAGCGAACACTCCACTAGCTAAACCAGAACCGTTCTGGTTTCCAAGTGAAAACATAAGCTTAAAGCGGAACTCAAGAACCTGGAAGGTTTCATCCGTAACCTGGAATGGAAATCCTCCAACGGTCTAACACACTCAAAAAAAATTCTTAGAACTTACGACGAGAAAAATCAAAGAATTTCCTTGATTTACATGAGAACAATCTTCGGATTATCACGGGGTTTCTAACAGGACACTGTCTCCTCAACAAACACCTCAGGAGATTGAAGGTGAGAAATAACGACAAATGCAGATTCTGTGGGGAAAATGGAGAAACACCAGAACACTAAACATTGGTAAGACTGATGTCGGAGATAGAGAGCTGGCCTCTGTGGAGCCATCTCAGAATCTCAGATACTGGCTTTTGTTAACGCCTTGAGGCTGTATGATGAGTTATAACTCGTTAACTCAAGAAAGGGGAATACACAATAGAGATCGGTAAGGTCGCAGTCAATACCCCCCCTAAACATTCTACATTCTACATGCACCAAATTAATAGTACCGTATGAACCAAAAAAAAACGGCATGCAGTTGACCTGGAAATTACGATAGATGATATTCCCCATATAATTATTGTACAGACAAGATGAGGGGATCTTCATTTCCAAGCCCTTTCAGAAGCGTTTTTTTTCGAACTTATGGTATTTAATTTACCAATTTTTACATAATTTCTTGATATCTTGTGGTCGTTTTCTTTTATTTGAAACTTATAATATCCAGCCAGAGTTCCAATAAAATAGGAACTGGCTCTCATATGACCTGGAATGTATAAAGTCTTGAACGTAGCATGAGACACTGGATCTTTTAATGCTCTAAAAATAGAATATTATTTAGTCAATGATAACTATCAAGATATTTAATAACTTACTTTAAGTAAATCATATACATTGCATCCAAATTGTCAATATATACTTTTGTAAATACTACTATTATTGAGGAAATTATTAACGAAAACACTAAAGTTAGTCCTAGTTTTGGTTTTTGCCATAAAAACCAGGTAAGAACTGGTGAGAAAATAAAGAAATTCATATCGCATGTTATAAACCAAGATTGGAACATACACTAAAATAATAAAATAACTTATTATAAAATCAAAAAATATTATTGAATTCAAATAAAAGAGTTTATGCGGATTCAATGCAGAATATTCAAAATACCTTACTTTGTTAATCTGTTAGAATTGAATAATCACTCACAAGATAGTGAAGAATAGAATAGTGAGAACTGAGTTTGAAAGATCCGGTATAATACAAATGATGTTCTATATTAGGAAAAAATATCTATACCTATGTGGCGGAGCCATCTCTCCAAAAAATCCTATATGGGTATTTGGCCACTGCAACAAAATCTACAAAATAGAACAGATATTTTTTGTCACAACACTTCTGCGTTAATCCCAAACGGAAACTACTTCTCAGAAGTTAGCAATAATATATACTACAGGCTGGCAAAGGTTAGTCTTGTAAGTTGTTAGTCAGAAGAGTACAATGCGTTTATAATGTACCGAATAAAGAGAGAACAGTAAACACGTTGCCAAGCGTATGAGATAAACCGAGAAACTGTGCATATTGCTAAGAGACGTGGAAGGGGATAAGCAGATTTTTCGCAGTCGACCGGTCGGACCATCATGCGTTCAGCTTCACGATTTAATTAAGTACGTCTCGTGATACTTTATTTGTTTATTTATTAACGAGTCGTTGTAATTTTCCCTATAGCTTGAAAATTTTTAAGTGCAAGTTAGAGACACTTGCATTTTTGGTAAAAATAAGTGGAATTGAGTTGGTGTTCGACAGTGGTCGCGCTATTAGAACTCTAAATTCAAAAATCAATATCTCGAAATCTATTAGAAATAATATATTTTCTTCGCAGATACTATGTGAAAATGTTTATAAATAAAAAAAGTTAAACTATTGCTGAAAATTGCTATGCACTAAAAGTAAATGGATGGGTTATTTAAAATTATTGAATGGAAAAAAATAACCTTATCGAATTGTTCTTACTTAACCATATTGTAAAAGATCCGATATTCAAAATAAAAAGTTTCAGTATCTAAAATAGTTCTTAAGTTATGGCGTGTTATGTGTTAAAAAGTTGAATTTTTAAATTATCGCGATAACTGACGTTTTCTCGTTATAAAAAAAATGGACACCCTAACAATATCCTTATAATTCCATTTCAGATGTTCAGAAATATATCTAATGATTTTATCTAGTTATATTTTCGAAAAAAAAAATCTTTTAAAAATAGGTAAGCGGTTTGCCATCGTGATTTTACTTTACTTGATAAGGAAAGGCGTACCGGCAACGCCGCAACAGCACATCGTCGCATTTCTCTCACTCCGACTTAATAAGATCCCTATACGATTTACTTCCACACATGTAAATACCGACCCAAAAGTAACAGTTGCCAGCACGGTATATTTTTGTTATATCTGTAAACCTGACTTCTGACAAGTAGTTTCCGTTTGGGATTAACCATACCAAACCAAACCATTAACGCAGAAGTGTTTACAAAAAATAACTATTTTATTTTGTAGATTTTCTTGCAGTGGCTAAATACCCATATGGGATTTTTTGGTTAAATATTGGAATTATAATTATTATACAACATTTAGTGTGAAAAATATTAATCAATAAAATTTAAAAGCATCTGCTATATGTTTCGATTATAATTTTACGTTCCACCTAGTGTTTATGGTTACTTACAATTTTATCCGTATTCACATAATTATTGATAAATAGTAAGTTGGCCCACCAGCTTGTAGTACATCTTTCTTGTTCCACGCCAACTCTGTGTTGCCAAAGTGGCCCAGAGCCTAGTTTTATAAATAAGGTGCAATAAAATGCGATGACCACAGCGTATGTCGGCAAAACCCTTCAACAAAAAGATATTTGTAAATTTAGCTGCAAAAGTCAATGTGTCATAGTTACTATTTTTCATTAAAGCTATTCCAACGAGAGGAAACATGATAGTGAAAACTGTGTCTTCGTCATTTTTCGTATTTCGTCTGTCGAACTCTTCCCTGACTCCGCTGGACTGACTTTAGTTTAAAATAATGTATTTTTGTTACCTTACAAATCTATGAATGTAAAAAGACGGCTAAATTAGTCTTATTGTTTTTCTTTAGTTGTCCCAAGATAAGAAATGTTGCCAGAAATCCTGATATGGTAAAAAATGTTTCGACTAAAATAGGTCCATTCAACAGCAAAATAGTTTCTGAATTTCGTGTACAGCTAGAAACACCATTTTTGTTTGATATAATTATTTAAAATAACGGATCTTACTTCTTCTACGTATTCAGGATTTAACATAGGGGGATCCAAAATCAAACATTATTCTGTGCAAGACTATGATCATAAACATAGAAAATACTTTCTTCATGCCAGCCAAACAATCCAGACCATCTGTGTTTTGATTATTTGAAATAAATTTCTTGTAATTTGAGCAGAAAGAGAAACATAATATTACGTTGTGTCCTTTTCCTAAAAAATTGTCTTAAAAAGAATACACACTATTCTTAAACAGTATAATTTGTTATGCAGGGTGTCCTGTAATATTTCATAAACATAGAACTACTACGTATATTTCAAATCAAAATAACTTCTTTAGCTCTATACAAAAGTGCTTCGTTTGTTCGTTAGAGGGCATCAAACGTAAAAAATACATTTTTTAAGATATTTTAAGAACCGTTTATTCCGATTTGAATGGACATTTTAGGTGTCTATGTTTTGCTGGGTGCCTAAATATATGACATAAAAATCCAGAAGTACAGGAGTGGTAAAAAACACCCTAAAATACTTTACCCCTACATAAATTCTAGCAGAACTATTTTCCAACTCTACCGACCGCAGATTTTTTTTTTTTTTTCGTAAAATAGTCATTCTAATATTTACTTTATTTTTTGTGTCTAAATATATGACATAAAAATCCAGAAGTACAGGAGGGGTAAAAACACCCTAAAATACCCTTACCCCTACATAAATTTTAGTAGAACTATTTTCCAACTCTACCGACGGCAGATTTTTTTTTCGTAAAATAGTCATTCTAATATTTACTTTATTTTTTGTGTCTTGTCTCATGTATGCGTATAAAATCTAGTATGCGATAATAATCTAGTTGGCAAAACTATGACATTTTGTGTTAGTATCACAAATGATATTTGACAGCTATATAGTAAGCTTAGTAAGCTTAAATTTTAAATTAATTAACATGCAGGTTTATTTTTGATTGGTGTCCTCTAACGGACAAACGAAGTAACACTGCTTTGGAAAAAAAGTTCCTGAAAATTTTCTCAAAAACTATGCGATGTTGCGATTTTTTCAAGACACAAAAAAGGTAGTAAATACTAGAAGGATCATTTTACAGGAAAAAAATCAGTCGTAAGCGGGGTAGTTTTTCGGGGTCGGGGTAGTTTAAACCTTTCTCGTACTTTTTCTTAATTTTTGTGAAAGTCAAATATAGGGTGGCGCCTCTCATACGCCGCGGAAACTCCAAGGAGAACGGTAGTTTATATCGAAATGAAATTTTGTCAGCATATGTAGGTTAACTGAAAGCATTTTATAAAAATATATAGGGTGTCCCAGGCTGAGCGTGCATTAGAAGTTTCTAGAGAACTACAACATCTAGCTCGGAGATTTTTTGCATATCATAGTTTCACAACGAGATCTATCGATTAAAAATATTTTCAATATGGCAGCACTTCCGGAAATAACCGGAAGTTGGCAGCAACTTTCTTATTTTAAATGGGTGCCCACATTTTTTATTAGGTACTTAAATTATCTGTAAAATTTTATTAATTTTGATATTAAACATATCTAACATTAACCGTTTTTGAGAAAAAAAATATTTAAAATTTTTGAACGAAAAAAACTGCCTGTCAGAAATATGTGTATAGCCTAAACGTCAAATCTAGTGATTACCACAGCCACTGTGCCATAAAGAGAAAACATGGGGCTATCTATTTCAAAAATTAAATTGTTCGAATGTCATATAATAAAGGCCGCAGCTGTTCATAGAATTGAGCGATTAAAAAATTATCATAAATTATTTTTTTCAAATGGAAACCCACTTTTTTTATTTCACTAGTGAAAAGACTTTTCAATTCGTTACTTTTTAACTATACATGTTCTTATACCTAAAATAAATCGATTTTGAGTTATTTAAGATTTAGTTTTAAAGCGTATATTTTTCTT